GTGATTGCAGCACGCTCAGTTCCGTAGTATGGTGTAGACGACGCGCGTGTTGTTTTCGTAGACTGCACTTCTTGTTTGACGATTCACGGGGTTTTGGAGCTTCTGGCGCGTTGCGCATGGACGTCGCAGGTGCTGTCCGTCCAAGTACTAGAGAACAGGCAACCCAGAGCAACATCCCCTTAACCACGCCTAACCTTTACCTGAAGAAACCTACCCTTTTTGTGAGTTAATTCCCGAAGAATCCTGTAAGGGGTCTTCTAGTAATTACGGTGGGTTTGGGGTTCTTGAGGTACAGGATGACAACCACGAGGGCCCCACCGCCCCCTAGATTTCGGGGTCTATATAAGGGCTCCCTTATTTTCGTAACCTCCCATATGGTCGCTGGCCCTTCTTTAAGGGGCTCTGAGGTGTGGGCCCTTAGGGTTTAGTGGGTATATAAGTGGTATGTAATTCAAGAGCCCATACGAAGGGACCATGCAACTACCCTTAGAGAGAAGAAGCTCCCAGACGTTTAGGGTTTAGGGTGCAGGGTTTAGGGTGGTCAGATTGCAAGCGTCCATGCCACTCAGTTTTCAGATCTTTTCGGGCCTCGCAAGGCTTCTTCATGCGATGCATTGGTATAGCTTGAGCATAGACAGAACTGGCGTTTGGGAATGTAGCCGAATAAACCCTAAACCCTAAACCCTAAACCCTAAACCCTAAACCCTAAACCCTAAACCCTAAACCCTAAACCCTAAACCCTAAACCCTAAACCCTAAACCCTAAACCAGGCTGTCGAAATCCAAGCTGCAGTGTCCGCTGCGTGTTCAACCCCCACCGCTACAAGCACTCACAACTATCAGAGCTACATGAAATTCAAAGTACTTTTTGGGTTTAGGGTTTAGGGTTTAGGGTTTAGGGTTTAGGGTTTAGGGTTTAGGGTTTAGGGTTTAGGCTTAGTAACCCACTAAAAGTGTAGTTATTATAACCCAGTTAGGAGCCCCCTTAAGTACCCGAATAGGGTGAATGTTGGGTTATAAGTGCAGGTACACTTGGGTTTCTAGGTACCATGAACCTCCAAGCAAGCATCAGGGTTCAGGATTTAGGGTTTAGGGTTTAGGGCGTCGGATTGAGGGTTTAGGGTTTTGGGGCTCAGGGTTCAAACCCCAAACCCCAAACGGCAAACCCAAAACCCCAAACCCCAAACCCCAAACCCCAAACCCAAAACCCCAAACCCCAAACCCCAAACCCCAAACCCCAAAACCCCAAACCCCAAAACCCCAAACCCCCAAACCCCAAACCCCAAACCCCAAACCCCAAACCCCAAACCCCAAAACCCCAAACCCCAAACCCCAAACCCCAAACCCCAAACCCCAAACCCCAAACCCCAAACCCCAAACCCCAAACCCCAAACCCCAAACCCCAAACCCCAAACCCCAAACCCATACCATGGGATATTTTGGGGGGGGGGGGGGGGGGGGCGGAGACCATACTTTTGGCAATATACCGTCCTGGCCGGTGCATCTACCTGAAGTTCCCATTGCTGTCCTCTGCCTTCCCAAGGACTGGCACTCTTTTAGGGTTTAGGGGTTTAGGACTTGGGGTTTAGGGTTTAGGGTTTAGGATTTAGGGTTTAGCGTTTAGGATGTAGGGTTTAGGATTTTGGGTTTGGGGTTTAGGATTTAGGGTTTAGGGTTCCAGGTTCAGGGTTTAAGGTTGATTCAAGGGCTAGGACTGGTTTCACCTTTTGGGTTCAAGGTTTAGGGTCCAAGGTTCTAGGGGTTTGGAGTTCAAGGTTCAGTGTTCAGGGTTCAGGGCTTGTAGGGTTCAAGTTTAGGATTCATGGATCAGGCTTTAGGGTTTAGCGCCGTGTTTTTTGTGGGGTTGCCCCGATATCTGCAGCCCCCATGAATCGCCCCAATAGCCGATAACTCGGAGGAATCTATAGGTCTTTCGACAAGAGACCTCAACCATGAACCCCAACCCCCCCTTTGCCCCCAAACCCTAAACCCAAAACCTTAAGCCCTAAGCCCTAACCCAAAACCCTAAGCCCTAAACCCTAAACCCTAAACCCTAAACCCTAAACCCTAAACCCAGATCCTGCATACCGAACCCAGGATGGCCCCTCAAGATAGCTTACAGGTCCTCTCCATGGGGCTTCAAAGACCGGATCAAATCAAGGTAGGGTTTAGGGTTTAGGGTTTAGGGTTTAGGGTTTAGGGTTTAGGGTTTAGGGTTTAGGGTTTAGGGTTTAGGGTTTAGGGTTTAGGGTTTAGGGTTTAGGGTTTCCAGAGGCCAAACTACGATTTGCGTAAGAACCCCCCCCCCCCAAAAAAAAAAAAAAAAAACATGTACAAGATTCTTCGCAAAACAGGATTCTTTTTTGTTTTTTCCCCACCTTCGGTGTGGGGTTGTTAGATTTTACATTCAGCTCTTCTCCTCGCCCTAGAGACTCCCTGGAGTGCCCAACCAGAGAGACCCTGGAGACCCTGGAGTGCCCAACCTCAGAGACCTCCTGGATGGCCCAACCCCAGAGACTCCCTGAAATGCCCAAGCCCAGAGAATTTCTGGAGTGGCCAACCCCAATTGCAAGCAAAAAACTAAGAAAGCGTATTTGAATAAATGTGGTCTCTGTTTGAACATCTTAGTTGCGCTCTCTCCTTTTCACGAAGATGGGGGGGGGGGGGGGGGAATTGAGGGGGGTTCTTACGCAACTACTAGCTAAAGGGGCCAGCCTGACAGTCTATATACACCCTGAGCAGCCCCAAGGGGTTTAGTTAAGGGGTTGAGGGTTTAAGGTCTTAGGGGTTGCGGGTTTAGGGTCTTAGGGTCTTAGGGTTTAGGGTTTAGGGTTTAGGGTTTAGGGTTTAGGGTCTACAGGCTTTTTAGGTGATCTCCAAACCTTACCATTGCTAGTCACGTCCTTGGGAGAACCGTTGGTAGCTGAGATTTTCTGACGCAGCTTCAGAGGTCCATACAGAGTTAACGGTATCGCAGTCTGCTCGGTCTTCAGCCTTGCATCCCCGAGATTAGGGGGGCTTCCGAAAATAAGAGGTCACCCTTCTTGGGGTCCTTAGTATGAGGGAATCCCATTATTTGGGGGGTCTATGTTAGGGTTCCCTTATTCTCGTAAACTCCCAAATGGAGTTTCACCGGTTGAGGTTTAGTCTAGATTTACGTACAATGGCGCTTCTGCCCGACTTTACTATGGTCGTGGCCGACGCTACATCCGGACGCAACAGCAGAAAGAGAGTCCTTAAGGGATGGACTGCCGGTTTTGCTGGGGTGTAGGAGTTTAGGGTTTAGGGTTAGGGTTTAGGGTTTATAACCCAATTAAAAGTGTAGTTACAACCTGCTTATCAAGCCCCTGAGTACCCGAATAGGCTTATAATTGGGTTTTCGGTACAGTCATACGTGGGTTACTAAGCACCATGAACCTCCAAGTACAGGGTGTGGGGGCGCATTGGGGTGAGCCCCAGACCCTAAACCCTAAACCCTAAACCCTAAACCCTAAACCCTAAACCCTAAACCCTAAACCCTAAACCCTAAACCCCAGACTGTTCTTCTAAGTGCAAGCAGCGTCTTGAGTGCACTGACCTCTGAAGCGTGGAGAGCCCCACAAGCTGCTCGTGAGGATCCATGTTGCGAAATGGAAGGCGCAGCACGGACTTCATGAAGCAGCAGTCATTTGAAGCTGACGATGCATATTTTATCTACACATATAATCCGGTGTCTCTGGCTACAGTGGATTCTCCCCCCTCGAGAGCGCGCAAAAGGAGGAACTACCGGGTGCTTTGCTGGGCCATTGAGGCATGAAGGCAAGTTGAAGTTTCAGTCTTCAGCCCCTAAACCCTAAACCCTAAACCTCAACCCTAAGCCCTCAACCCTAAACCCTCAACCCTAAACCCTCAACCCTAAACCCTAAACCCTAAACCCAGAAAGTTCATGGGGAACTAGTGACGTAGGTGATGAGAACCCCCAAGGAAGCTGCAGTGCGGTTATCATTCTCCTTAAGTTTAGCTCACGGTTTGTGGGGCGAGGGGCAAAAAGACCAACTGACACTGCACCCCCAAACCCTAAGCCGCCAAAGCCCCTGAGCCCTACACCCCCAAACCCGAGCAGCTTGCATCAGTTGTTGATGTGAGCTGATGGTACGTGCCTGCATGCTGCAGCTCGGAACCTTCTTGCTACACCGGTACGCAGGCAAAATGCAAGGGATTTCAGGTCCGGGCGCAAAGCGATCTCGGCCCATGAAGGAGGAGGCTGTATCTAAACCCACCTTCAAAAACAAGAACGTACTCCCTGCCTTGCACTAAGCTGCCCTACCTCACACGGCATGGGTTTAGGGTTTAGGTCTTAGGGTTTAGGTTTTAGGGTTTTGGGTTTAGGGTTTAGGGATGTACAATGTATCCAGAAAAATTAACACATACCTCCTCAACAAGTCAGTATAACTTCAATTAAAGTAAAACAAGCCTCAGGTCTTAAGCGGATGCCTGCCGCCCGACACCCCCAGCCCTTGAATGACAACTCTAAAAAGAACACTAAAACAAAGTAGCTGCCGCACTGCACTAGACCCTACTCACCCTACTCGCCTTAAGCCCCTTTAGGCCCTAAGAACCCTAAGAACCCTAAGAACCCCAAGAACCCCTTTAAGCCACACGAACCCCCTGACCCTGAGAACCCTAAGAAGCCCTGACGAAGCGATGCCTGCGGGCGCTGGCCTCTGGCTTGTGGAGCCAGGCTCGGGAGCGAGTTTTGCTTTGGGACTGTAGGATTCAGGGTTCAGGGTTTAAGGTTAGGAGTCTAGTTTTTTTTGAGTTTTGTGGGCTGCGCGGTGCTCTTACTAGACTTCCGGTCGAAGTAAGCTCCGAAACCCCCAAAAAAGGGTGCCCTGATTATATTATGATTACTTGACTACCAAGAGTCGATGTCCCGTCTTTGAGCAGCAGAATGACTGGACTATCGCCCTGTCAAACTTGAACCGCACAAGATCTCACCTAAGGGCAACTGGCTCCAAATGT